GGCCACCTCTGGGGGCGCGGCGTCGGGGCTGAGGACGATGCTCCTTCTTCCGCCGGGCAAGGTCTGGTGTTCCACTCGCTTTGAAGCCCCCGAGATGCCGCCCGAAGCGCATGGTTCTTTATCCCGTATGTGCATGGAAAAGGAAATGCAATCGCGCATTTTGTAGCAACGGAGTGGCGCGCACAGCGCGCAGGCATGTCAGGTTTCGTTCAATTGCGCGACCTCGCGAATGCCTTCTCGAGCGTCCGCTGGCCAGACATGAGAGCAGCCGCATCGGGTCTGACGCGGGGCGGACTTGCCCGCCTGGGCTGCCGGCGTTTCGAGGCGGCAGCAGTCGCCGCCCCCCGCGCCGAGGGCTATTGTTTTTTTTGGTTGTCTTCTCCCCCGACAGGCCGTGGGCGGATTGCGCGAATTCGCCGAGGCTTTGCAGGCGGCCATTTGGGAGCGGGGGGGGCGGCTGCAGGCGCGGGGGGCGGGGGCGGACGATCTTGCGTCGTAGCGCCCGTCTCTGCGCGGGGCTGCGGGCGCGTCTTTGAGGCCGCGCCCAGACGACATCCCGCCGACGTTTTGCCGGCGGCTCCCCGCCGGGGACTCGGCGAACTTGCTGCGATTGTGCGAGCGCGCGATTGCCCTTCTCTGGTCGAGATTGGGCGCGGGCAAAAAGCGGCTAAGCAGGGGCATTGGATCTGCGCCCTCGAATGCGAATAGGTTCGCGGACCTAGCTCGGAAAAAGAAAAAAAAAAAAAAAAAAAAACGAGTTCAGATCTCTAGATGCAACAAATTAACGCGCCTGATGAATCTAAGAGGGGTTCTGTTAGTATCAGCTCTGTAGCTGTCCTACAACTCGAGTGAAGTAGAGAAAGCCGAGACCCCGGGCTCGAGCCGCGGCGGCGGGGGAAGTGCCCCCCCCCCGCTCTGCATCCCCAGGAATGGAGACAGCAACTACGCGCAGCAAGACGTCTGCGCGCCCGAGTGGATGCTAACTGCAGCGGCGCCCGTTCGACTGCAGAACAACGGCCGCTGCGGCCGCGCGGCGCCGCCCCGGCCAGTTTTGCGCCGAACGGCAAAACGCATCGAAGTACGCGCGCCATTCCATCGCGTCGCGCGTGGAATGCGGCGAGCCGCGGGGCTGAATGCCACGCGCGCCCGGGCAGTCATTGCGCGGGGCTCGATCATCTCGTCGTCGGTTCCTTTCGGCACGTTATGCAAGGTGAGCGCGCGGGCAGGCGGAGCCCCCGACGGCGCCGCCCAGCATCGTTCCCAGAGCACCCTGCAAGTGTTGGAGCATGGGCGCGCGGCCCCCGCGAAGCTCGAGACGCGGGCGCGCCGCCCTGAGGCGGCCCAGACCAGTGTCGGCCACCCGCGGAGAAAGGGGCGGGCCCCCATCTCCCCTGTCGGCCACTTCCCTTGCGAGGCGGATCCGGCGATCGAGGAGCGAGACTCCTGTGGGGTGGAAGTGGGGGTCGGGCGCAGGGCCCTGGCAGCGGTGTCTTTGCTGGGCCATGCGTGGGCGATGCATCCTCGATTGCTGCGTTCGGCGGGGGAACTCATTGAAGCTTGCCGCCTGCGCCCGCGGGCGAGACTCGAGGGTGAGCGAAGCAAGGGGGCGGGGGGCTCGGGAAAGGCGACGAAGGCACCGCGCGCTGAGGGCGCCAATAGTAGGTTGGAATACACGAAAGGGGCGAGGTGAGCGTCAAAATCTGCTCAGCCAATCTGACGCGCGGAACGCTGCGCGTCAGCGTTCGGGATCTTGAAGGCCAGGGCAACATGTGAATTCACATTGTGGGGAAAGCAAAGTGTGAATCCACATTTCGGGAAAAAGGCAATTGCGAATTCACAGTGGAAAAAAGGGAAATGTGAATTCACACAGTGGAATGTTGAGTGGGAATCTTTATGAAAGGGGCCAGACTGTGAATTTACATTGCGGAAAACAACATGAATTGGGAAACTCATATTTTGGATAAACGGGGAAATGTGAATTCGCAGTCTGGGAGAATCGCGGGGCCCATTCCAAATCTGTCTCGGGGGTCCGCAAGTCATGGTTTGGGAACTTACGCGATCATGAATCGCACAATCAAGACACACTTGCGCTCCACTTCGCCGCCCCACGCGCAAAATGCAAGAACGCCCACGCGCATGGACGATCCTGGATGGGCGGCGCGTTTGCCCGCGCGGGCAACGCGCGGGCGCGAACCACTGGCCCTCCATGGCCGCCAACATTTGATGCCAATCGTACCCGATCACATACATGAGCGACGCAATGAGCACACATGGGCCATTCAGCCCCCATTGAAGACCCCCCGTTGCAGACCCCCTCTTTATCCCTCACAGACTCGCGGCGCGACGCGAGCCCCTGGGCTTCCCAGATGAGAGAGGACATGCTGCAAGGAGTGGGGGGGCCTCGACGATGAGGGGGGTGTTCTGGGGGGCCAGATCCGCGCGGCGCGCGTGGAATTAATCGCAGACGACGAAACGAAACGCGATTCCATCGCGCAGGATTTCGCAATCTTACGCCGAGGGTAGACGCGAGTGCTGCACCGTCTCCTGGGTGGCCCCCGGCTCTACTTCCACTGCCTGAACTGAACCTGCTTGCCCTTCGCGCGCTGCCGGCGGGGCTCGGCGGCTCCGCGGCTATCGGGGCGCGAGGGGCGAGGCGCGCGAGCGCGCGCTGGCGCGCGTCAGGGGATCGCCCGGCATAGAATGGCAAAGCGCAGGTTGAGCTGTAACGTCGAATGGCTGCCCCAATTGCCGCGCTTCTCAGTTGCCGTGTCTCGCGGGGGCAGGCGCGCGGATTGCTCGCGCCACTTTCGGGGGCGCATGCGCCCGTTGCCGCCCGTGCGATTTCCGCGCGCGAGCGGCCGCTGGGGCGCATCGCAACTCGCCCTCCGCCACTTGACTTCCTCGCCACTGGCGCCGAGAGGCCCCGGCGTGCCATGCGCCGCGATGCTCGACCCGGGCGCGGCAGCATGAGTGCGTTGCCGGCGAGCCGCAGACGAGGGCGCGCCGACTCCGCCGATCATCCGGGCGCCGACGCGACGGAGGTCAACTCCGTCATCGGGCTGCTCATCGCGCTCGCCAACATGTCTCTCGCGGGCGCGGCAGAGAGGCGCGAGGTCACGAGCGCGCCGCGAGTGGCCCTCCTCATCGGCGCCGCCTCGCCCACGGTCGCGGCAATGCGGTAGCGGGGCCGGGGCTTCTGCGAGTCCGCCAGGGCCGCCGCGGACGCTCCGCAGAGGCAGGAGGCGCATGGTCCACCGACCGTGCGCGCGCGCTCGCGGGTCTTCGTCGCGGACTGGGGGGAAGCGCCGACCTACCTCCGCGGGGCGCGCGCCCGCTGAAAAGGATCCCGCGCGGGCGCGATTGGCGGCGAGACTGCGCGGCGAAGGGTCTCCCAGGACAGGCGCCCCACTGCAAATGCGCAATGGGGAAGCAGAAGCAGGGCGAAGAGGGGGTCGCCAAGATCTCGCGGGCCATGCATCGCGCGCGCGGGGGGGGGGGTCAGGGCGTCCGCGCCCGCGTCCTCGCGGGCCACGAGGCAGCGATCAAGCGCGGCCCTCCGCCGAGGGCCCCGCTCGAGCGGGCGGCGCAGGAGCCTCGAGGCTCGAGGTGCTGGAGGGGGTGCTCTCTCAGGGCGACGATGCCGATGCCGAAGGCCAGGCGCAGGCGCAGATCCAGGCTCTCACGCGCTCAGCGAGCACATCTTGCCACTTTCAGCCAGTGGCGGCTGACTCTTGTTGACCGCGGCAGCGCGCCCCTCGGAGCAGCCTCGAGGCAGGCCGCGCAGGCGGCGACGGCGGTCGCGCCGCCGCCCGCGCGAGCCCGAACCAGGCGCGCCCCGCGGGGGGGATCCTTTCGATAACTTAACTTGTTTTACCCTCTGTCCTTTGTTTGCTTGCCCCTTCCTGCCCCGTCCTTCTTCCGTCCTTCCTTCCGTCAGCATTTCCAGCAAACGAGAGCGTCATATATCGCCCGAGCAGTGTTCCGGGCAGCGCGGCAGGATTTCCAAAGTGCCCCGGAGGGTCTTCAGGCCGTCGTGCCACGCAGACTGTTACAATCAAGTGGTGAGAAGTGGCAGGATTGGCCCAGGCTTCTCGCGAGTTTGGCGATCAGATTTTTTAGCCCCCCAGCTTTCGATTCGACGATTCGATCCGGTTCCTCCAGTTATTGTTATCCCTCCCCCGGCGGCGCGGGCCGCCGCGGGGGGGCGCTCCGCGCCGCGTGGGCGTTGTTTTGGCCGGCCCCGGTCTCGGGCACTTTCGCTCGGCCTTCGGCCGAGCGAAAGGAAGGAAGAAAGAACTCCGAGCGAAAGGTCTCGGCCTCGATCGGGCACCTCCCCCCCCCCCCCCCCGAGGAAGGAAGAACTGCGCAGACGCAGAATGTCCACAGTCCGCGAGGGTTCCTGGATCGGCGCTGGGCTCCCCAAGCAACCCGCCCCGAGCTCCGATTGTCTGCATGTGTGCATCGGTTTCTTCTTCCTCTACTCCCGCTCCTCCTCCCCCGCCGCTTCCCTCTCCCCCCCCTTGGGTTCCTCTCCCCCGCCGCTTCCTCCTCTTCCCCTTCCCTCCCCCGTCTCCTTGGAGACGGGCCAGAGGCTCCTTTGGGGGGGGGACCATGCTTCTGAGCGTATTGGGGGCCCGTTGGGGTCCGTCGGATGGCGTTGTGGGGCGCCTTCAGGGCGCCTTGGGGCCATCTTGGGCGCGGGTTCCGTTAATTAACGAGTTCTCCCCATCTCCCAGGGGAGGAAAAACTTCCCGGATTGGACAACTGGCGTTTACTAAACGGCCCTAGGCGTTTAGTAAACAATCCTGCCCTGTTCGATTCATTCTCTGGGCGCGTTCACTGAACGACTTCGCGTGTCGGGGTGGTGATTCGGGGGGGGGATTTTTGGATTTCGCGACAGTGGCCACCGCGGCGACCAGAGCGGCGATTCACCGCGGCGGCGGCGGCGGCGGCCACCACGAGGACCGCGGCGTCGACGGCGGCCATGCGGCGACGGCGAGGTTGGCCGCCGGGAGCGGCTTCGTGGTGGCGGGCGCGCTGGCCGCTGCGGCGCTGGTCGCCCCTGCCTCGGCGCGGCCGCCCTTCGGGACGCGAAGTGATTCGCGCTTCGCCTTGCGGTTCGGTTCCGTTTCCTCCTCGTCCTCCTCTTCTCCCGGGAGGGCGGCGAGGAGGAGGAGGAGGAGGGGGAGGAGGACGAGGAGGAGGCGCCCTCGGAAAGAGGGCCTGCCAGTGGATAGGGCCGTGGCCCTCCCTGGCGTTTTTTGGTGTGTGTGTGTGTGTGTGTGTTCGTTTTTGTTGGTGTTTTGGGGGGGGCGCTTTTGTCTTTGGGGGCGTTTTTGTTTTAGGCGTTTGGGGGGCGTCTTCGGTGGCGTTCGTTTGGGGGGGCGGCGTGCTTACTTTTCTTGTTGCTGGACTTCGCCAGGGGAAACGGGCTCAGGATGGGCCCCCGCCGGCAGGGGTCTGCAGGGACGGATGTTCGGGGCTCAAGAGACGGGGGTCCATGCAAGTGAGGGTGGGTCAGGGCGCCGGATCTTACCAGATCCTGCAGAGCCAGGGGCACACAGACCCGGGCTTGGGCGCAGGATCCCGCAGGATCCTGCAGGATCTCGCAGGATCCTGCGCGGCCTGGTGGAGGGGAGATGGCTTCTTAGAACCGGCCCTGCATCTTAAAAGGTGCGGACCCTGCCCGTCGATGCAAGGCCGTCGTCTTCTAAGAAGCAGCCTGCTTCTAAGTAGCCTTTCCCCCTCCCCCTCCCCCCCTTGCGGGCCGCCAGGATCTTGCAGGATCCTGCGCAGCCTGATGAAGCCCGGGTCTGTATTGACGCGGAGGAGGAGGAGGAGGAGGAGGAGGAGGAGGAGGAGGACGAGGAGGAGGAGGAGGAGGAGGAGGAGGAGGAGGGTCTGGATTGACGCGGGTCGGCAGATCCCCGAGGTTGGTCCCACGGATCCGGGCCTGGGCGGGGGAACGGCCCGTACCTCGACGGGCCCTCCTCCGAGAGGTGCCGTGCTGACAGGGGAGGAGAGCTACCCATACCTGTCGGTCGTTGAAAGTAGGGATTTTCCCCAATCAGTGCTTGCATTGAAGGGGTCCTTCACCACCTACCAGACCACCCCAACCCAACCCGAAGGCTCAGATTTACCCTCGATTTCCAGTGGGGGGGGGGTCGGGGAACATCGAGAAAACACATGTGGAACCCGTACCCCCCCCAACCCGAAATTCGGGTCTTCGGGTTGGGTTGGGGTGGTCTGGTAGGTAGTCAACCCATACCTGTCGGTCGTTGAAAGTAGGGATTTTCCCCAATCAGTGCTTGCATTGAAGGGGTCCCAGCGGAAATTGAAAGGTTGGGCGAAGGTGTCCCGCTGATTTTGGTGGCCGGCCGGGTTCCCGGGTTCCCGGGTTCCGGGTTCCGGGGTTCCTGCGCGGTTATTGGTTCCGGGCCGATTTCGGTAGGTTCCGGGTTCCCAGGTTTTCGGTCGATCTCTTTATCAATATCAAACCATCCATTGATTGGGGTTTATCTTTGGTGTAATTTTGGAGCTCCCAGATTCCAACATACTATAAGCGCCTTCCTATTTCAATGATCGAGTGGCTTCACCTTTTCCGTCCTCTTTAGGGGGCGGGCGGACACCCAATCTACTTCCAACGCCTTCCTACTTCATGCTTCTACCTACTTCTTCCGACCGATGGGTACCCATACCGCTATACCCTTCCCTCGTTGGCCCTCGTCGCCACCGCTGGATCCACCTGGAAGTTCTGGTCAGAACGCACCCCAGGAGAGAGAGATCCGGGGAGTAGCGGTATCGATGCCCTCGATGCCAGTGTTCTCACGTATTCCCCCGCTGCATCCCGCCTCCCCCTTCTACTCAAGCGCCCCGGCCACCGAGTTCTGCGCTTCTTTTCCACGGCCGGAGCAGAAGACAGGCAAGTCTGTCGGTTGAGCCTGAATCGCTTATGAGAGTGCGAGCGCAGCACACATTACTTAATCAATGCAGCCTTGATTTCAAGAGGCGCACGCGATCTCCAGCAGGGCCCAAGCAAGGTCCCACGACGGCCCAAAAAATACCTCCCGTCGCGATTATTGTCGCGACTCGAGGGGGTCTGGGTTGCGTTTTCGTCGGTCCCCCTCTTCCTCCTCCTCCTCCTCTCCTTCTCCTCCTCCTCCTTCTCCTCCTCCTCCTTCTGTAGTCATTTTGGCTCAAGTTCGAAACGTGCGTCCCTGGCGCGTCGAACTTGAACGCTGCCGAGGGGTAGGCCTCGCCACGGCGCGCGCATGGACGACATCGAGGCGCGCATGCACGAACACAATGAGAAGCTCCAGGCCGACCTGAAGAAGCTCGTCGACGCCGCGCTCGAGGCCAAGTGGGAGTCCTCGACTACGGCATCCAGCGGTCCTTTACCTACCGCGTGAAGCTCCGCGTCCCGACGCGGAGTGCCTGGTGAATCGCCCGCCGACACGACTAAGGTTTGGATAGGACTTTTCACGCGGACCATGTTCAGCACAGCCATGGTCGAGCACGCCAAGAAGTGCTCGCCTCGATTGTCGCGCAGATGCCCACGACGCATCCTACAAGTGCCGCATCTTGAACCAGAGCTACTTCATCAAATTCGGGACCGAGGCGAAGGCGAAGTCCTTCCTCGACTTCGCGCGACCCGTGGGCCTGAACTACGATGACCCCGTGTCAAAGAAGCGTATCCCGCCTTGATGCGCCGCCCACGGTGCGCTCCAAGTACAAGATCCTCTGAGGCTTGTGGCAGCAAGTCCTCGCTCACCTCCAGAACCTGAAGCTCTGGGGCCCGACCAAACTTTCGATCGGCTCCAACGGCTACAAGGGCTGCCTCTACCTCATCGGGAGGCGCAGGAGACCACGATCTTGTTCCGCATCATCTAGACTCCGAATGAGGGATTCGACTTCGACCCCCGCTCCGACGGCATTTTTCGTTTTAGGATCAAGCGCGTGGAGGCGACCGAGATGATCGCCGAGGCCCAGAGGCTGTTCGCGGCCGCGTCTCGCCCAGAGCGTGGGCTCTGACACGCACTACTACGGCTGTGTGTTATGATGAATCCAGCTCGACTTCGACGTGGCCACCACCTGGAGCCTTGCAGCCGCATGGGACGCCAAACGAACTTGTCGATCGTGGCAAGGCGATCCCGCGCAGACGTAAGCGCTCTGTGTCCTCCACTTCGACTTCCACATCATCATCTGGTTCGACCTCGTCCTCTGCCTCCTCATCGTCTTCTTCTGCTAGCTCGACGACCAGTGCTTCCTGCTCCTCGGGCGGGACTTCCGAGCCAGCTGTGCCGTCTCATCGCTCTACGCAGGTGGCGTATCGGGTTCGGCGCAATCACAGTATGGTGGCTACTCCCAAACATGGCATCATATATGTTCAGGAGACTTACGGGCAGGAGGAGGACTTGGTTCACCGAAGTCAGGAAGCGTTTGGCCTCCGAGCGCGGGTCTCGTTCTCTCCCTCCTGACATCTCGGGCGGCGTCGGTACTAGTATTCATCCTCAACTTGTTCAGGACTTTCCCGAGGGTCACTCGAACGAGATCATCCCTGGGTTACTTCCGGAGGTGGTTTTGTCTGGGCCCAAAGGCACCCTCCAGGTCTTCAACCTCCATCTCGTTCCTGCCTTGTCGGCGATTTCAATTTCCACGCGGGCGGCGAGCCCCGACAGCTCCACGGCGGCTTTCAGCGCATGCCCACTCATTGGTTGGGAAGGTTGCTCATCAATGTATTTCGGAATCTAGTGGAGGTCGCCCAGCCGATGCCGACGCACCGCGCCGCCATGGACGAGGGTAGGAGGGTGCAGTCTGCGGGGTGCTTAGATCGGATATACACGAACCTGTATCCGCGCACCTTCCTGGACCTGAAGCCAAACTCCTTGGTTTTGCACGATGTCCTGGACTTGGAGTTTCCGTCGGATCACGCCCCGTGTGCCCTGGTCCTTACTTGTTTACCAGAAGTCCGATGTTACGTTCAGGATCCAGCCCTTGGTTTCGAAGCAGCCTGAGTTTCCCGAGCGCGCCAACACGATCCTGTTAGAGTTTGGCGGTCTCAACCCTGGCCCAGTTGCTGTGCTCGCCGAATGTTTAGATCTTCTCCGCGCAGCCGCTATGTGCCTGATCGGCCGCCTCGAGCGCCGCCGGGCGCCCACGACGGCAGAGAAGCTTCCTTGGATATTGTCGGCGATGCGAGCGCCCGTAGCTACCAACGCTCATTTGCTCCGTCGCGCGCTGAAAGCGCATCCCAAAATGCGTGGGTTGTTCTTGTTTCGATGCTTTGTCTGGGACCTGAACCTCCGAGCACGCTGCCCGCGGGCGCCTGAACTCGCTCTCGATCCAGAGCATTCGCCGTCAGCTCGACGATCCCCAAAGCTCGGACTCCCCTGGTCAACGCGCAGCAGAAACTCAAGCTCGGTTGATTTCTTATGAAACAGCTTGGGCTTTCGATTAGGCGTTCCGCTATCCGGCAATGCGTAGTCGACCCGGCTGGCCAGAAGATCTCGGGCCCTGGTGAGGCGGCGCAAGCTCTAGCCACGCATTGGGGGGCCATCCATAGTGGGTGCCATTCCTGTCCGAGAGCGCGCGAGATAATTGCGACCTGCGTTCAGACTTGCCCTCCCCGCACGCTCTGGCACATCGAGTTCGACGGATTCGCTGATTGGGCCAGGAAGAGCCGAGACAGCGCCCTTGGTTTCGATGGTATCATGCAATTCGGCCTGGCCCCGTGCTGGGGACAGGGTGTTAGAGGTTATGTTTGCCATCTGCGAAGGTATCTTAGCAGGTGATTACCCTGGCGATACTTTTAACTTTGCCATGTGCGTCTTCCTCGCGAAGGGCCCTTCGGCCGAGGATAGTGCTGCCGGAGTGTCCAGGGCGCCGTCGACCACCCGACCGATATCTTCATCGAGCACCGAATGTAAAATCGTCAGTCTCGCCATGAATGACCCGCTCGCTCGGCTCGCCGAGATGACCGCTGGCGATGTCCAGAGGGGGGGGGATCCGACGTCGTTCGATGTCCACATTGTCGAGCTAGAGGCGCGGGCGCTCCC